CCATGAGGCAGGCACCTAACCTCTAGTGACCCAGGCAAGGTCAGAAAAGCACGTGTCCGGCTGTTATGGCTGCCGAAATGGGGAGCTGGTCCCTTCAACACCAGCCCCTAGCAAGTTTGATGTCTGATCAGTTGCTTTGTGTGACCTTTGGCCATACATTTCCTGCACGAGGGACTTTAATTCTACACCCCCTATTCTGTGTTTGACTATCTGCCTGTGCACAGACTTCTTCCTCATTTTCCTATTAAGACTTGTGAGTCTTGCTAGTTTGCTCACAATAAGTCCCTTTTGGTTTTTCCCTTTACAGGACTAGTGACTGAACCTAAGAACACGATAGGCAAGCACCTTAGCACTGAGTTACATTCCCAGTCTTTCTTTATTTTTTAATTTGAGACAGGATCTCATGAAGTTGCTCAGGTTGGCCTTAAACTCACTCTGTGGTCCATGTTGGCTTTGAACTTGTGATTCTCCTGTCTCAATCCTGACTGTTGGGGTTACACCAGCTGGGGCTGAGTCACCAGGGCCAAGTTTTGTTTTATTTTTAAGTTTTGTTTTGTTTTTGGTTTATTTATTTATTCATTTTTGTTTTTTGAGACAGGGTTTCTCTGCGGCTTTGGAGGCTATGGTGGATAGCTCTTGTAGACTAGGCTGGTCTCAAACTCACAGAGATCTGCCTGCCTCTGCCTCCCGAGTGCTGGGATTAAAGGTGTGTGCCACCACTGCCCGGCTGTTTTTGGTTTATTGAGATAAGTTATCCATATGTGTTTATACTTCAGGCTAGCCTGGAACTTACTGCCTGGCAGAGGCTAGCCTCCAACCTACAGTAATCCTACTGCTGAGGCTTCCTGAATACAGGGATTATAAGTGCCTGCCGTAGAGCCTAACTTTTTTTTTTTCTTCTTCTTTTTTGAGTGAGGCTCTCAAGTTCAGATTGGCCTCGAACTGGCTATGTAGTCAAGACTGGGCTTGAATTTCTAATACTCTTGCTTCTACCTTCCAAATGCTGGGGCTATAGGTGTGTATTACCATGCTTACTTGTTTTATTTTTATTATTTATTTATTTTTCAGCAGGGTCTAATTATGCAGCCATGATTGGCCTGGAATTTGCTCTGAAAACACTAGAACCTACATGGTGGAAGAAGAGAATCAATTCCTGGCTCCTGAAAGCTGCCCTCTGATTTCCACAAGCACGCTTCCACCACATGCAAGAAATTGGTTTGTTTGTTTGGTTGGTTGGTTGGTGTTTCGACACAGGGTTTCTTTGTGTAGTCTTGGCTGGAATTTACTGTGTAGACCAGGCTGGCCTTGAACTCAGAGAACCTCTGCCTCTGCCTCCTGAGTTTGGGTCTCAAAGGAGTGCACCACCACCACCCAGCTAAAAAATGAAACAAAAATTAAAAAAAAATATACCTGAACAGAGAGCTGTATTATGTTCTTAGACTGAAAGGTTCATTTCTATAAAGACATCAGGTTCTCACAGGTTGATTTATAGATTTAGTGCAATCCTAGTAAAACCCCAATATGAATGGCATTGCAAGGTAAAAATAACAGCAAAGATAACAGTTGTGGTGAAAAAAAATGTAAACGAACTTGCTGGACCAGTTATCAAGATATATTTGAAGGCTACTGTAATTTAAAAATATAGTGCTGCTCCAGGGAAAGATAAATTGACTTTTGATGTCTATCAGATGTTTAATTAGATATTTGATTTATGACAAAGAACTTCAGAACAGTGATTGAAAGGACAGATTTTTCACTGAATGAAGCTGAGCTCACTGGATTGTCACATGAGAGAAAAAAAGAAGTTGGATAGCCTTTCTGTTTTAGTTATTTTTATTTTTATTTGTGTGTGTGTGGGTGGGGTGGGGGAGGTGAGACAGGGATTTTCTGTGTGGTCCTGGCAGTCTTGGAACTCACTATGTAGATCAGGCTGGCCTAGAACTGAGAGATCTGCCTGCCTCTGCCTCCCAAGTGCTGGGATTAAAGGAGTTTGTCACCACTGCCCAACTATTTCTTTCTTTTTATGTAGCCTTGTCAGGCTTGTAATTCACTATGTAGACCAGGCTAGCCATAAACTCATAGGGACCTGCCTGCCTCTGCTTCCTGAGTGCCTGGATCTTTACTTAATCATGTGTAAAAATCAATATAAGGCCAGGGAGATGGTTCATAAGGTAAAGGCACTCGTTACTCAAAGCTGATAACCTGAGTTCAATCCCTAGTATCCGTATAAAGGTGAAAGGAGAAAACCCACACCACAAGGATGTCCTCTGACCTCTGAGATAAATCATGGCACACACACATATAATAATTAGTGGTTGGTTAAGAGCACTAGGTGCTCTTCCAGAGGATCCAGGTTCAATTGCCAGCACTCATAAGGTGGCTTACAATGAATGGTTTGTGACTCCAAGTCTTGGGGATTGGATGCATTGGATGCTCTCTTCTGGCCTCTGTGGGTACTGCAGGCACATGGTTCAGACTTACATGTAGGCAAAATATCCATATACATAAAAATAAATAAATTAAAGATTTTTTTTTGTTTTTCTACATAGGCTTTGTGTGTGTGTGTGTGTGTGTGTGTGTGTGTGTGTGTGTGTGTGTGTGTGTGTGTGTGCAACCCTGACTGTCCTAGAACTTGCTCTGTAGACCTAGAACTTGTCCTGGAACTCACAGAGATCTGCCTGCCAATGCCTCCCAAGTAAAATTTAAATATTCCAGACCAAAAAAATCATATGCACAACTATAAATATTTTGGAAGACAATTATCAGAGATTTTTTCACTTTGGGGAAGAAATAGATGATTTTAGATGTACAAAAATTTATTAACCATAAAAGAATAAGAAATTTGACTATATTAAAATAAATTTGCCAGGCATGATGGTGTATGCCTGTAACTCAAGCACTCTGGAGGCTGAGGCTGGATGGTCTTGAGCTCAAGGCCACTTTAGACCACATAGTGAGACCCCTATGTTAACAAAAATAATATTATGGTTGAGGGTGTGGAGAGATGGCTCAGTAGTTAAGAGCACAGGCCGCTCTCGCAAAAGACCCAGATTTTATCTCCAGCACCCACACTTCAGCTCATGACCTTCTGTGACTGTAGTCTCAGGGGATCCCATGCCCTCTACCCTCCTTCTCAGGCACTTCGTGCATGTGGTACACAGACACTCACGCTGGCAAAACACTCATACACACTGAAAAAAAAATCAGGGATGGCAGACGTGGCTTAGTTCTTGTTCCTTTTCTAGAAGACCCTCGAAGGCCAGAAGAGAGCACTGGAGTCCCGGAGCTGGGTTTCAAGCTGTCCAGAGTCTGTGCTGGGAACTGCAACCTGCTCTTCTGCAAGCGCAGTGTCATCTCTCCTGTCCCCAAAGTTTCTCATTTTGATGAAGTCCAGTTAACTGTATCATTGTTCTGGTTTCACAGTTTGCTTCAATGATTATAAATAGTAGTTGCTGTTAGCTTTCATGTTCATTCTTGGCTTTACTGGAAAAAAGAAGTGAGAAGCTGAAGGAGACAGCCCGCTAAAAGTCTTATTCAATAGACAAGCTCTGAGGACAGCCAGAAAATTTCAACCCAAAGGGAGACATTGAAGTTCTCTCTCTCTCTCTCTCTCTCTCTCTCTCTCTCTCTCTCTTTGTGTGTGTGTGTGTGTGTGTGTGTGTGTGTGTGTGTGTGTGTCTGCGCGCGTGCGCGCTCAAGTGCCACAGCATGCATGTGGAGGTCAGAGGACAGTGACTTGCTGGAGCCAGTTGTCTCCTTCTGCCATGTGGGGTCTGGCAATTCAACTCAGGTGGGTATGCTTGGTGGCAAGGCTGTTATTGCTGAGCCATCTCACCCAATGTTTCTTTTCTCCTTCTCTTCTATACAAAGTGTAACTATGTAGATGAGGCTGAACTGGGACTTGGGTTCCCCCTGTTTCAACCTCAAGTGCTGGGTTTGCAGGGGTGCTGGTGCACACCTGGCTTGCAAGCAGTCTTTGAAAGTATAAACACACTACACGTCAGTGAGCCAATGCTAATATTTTCAGTCTTATTCAATTTGTAGGTAACACACAGCTGAGAGAGCACAAGGTAGCTAGACTCCGCTGTTCCCAGCCAGTCTTTACAGCTTTTGCTTCAGAATAATTTCCTTTCAGCCTTCAACTTTGTTGATTGCTCAAAAACCACGAACACAAACCAGAACCTTCCCTTCCCCAAACAAAACAAAACACTTTATTTGCCCCACTTGCTTTTCTGAAGATGACCTTTCTCCCAAACCGGGGAAAGCATTTTCATTAGAGACGTTTACTGAACTCCAGGCTACAATAGAAACTGGAGGTGTACAGTCGACTAAATAGCGCCTCTGCTACCAGGACCATGAAGTCCCTCCACAGAGACAGCGTGCTGGGCTCCAGGAGTACACGCCGCAGAGACCGCCCTGGCTGGGCCGATGTGGCCGAAGCTAGGCTTGGATCCCGCAGTCATTTGCAACCCTTCTGCCATTCTCTTCTCCTGCAGCCTACAGAGCAGGTCCCCTTTCCACCACCACAGCAGATCAAGCGCAGTGAGGACTCATAGGTAGAGCGAACGCCGCTCTATTTTAAGGACCCAGTGCGTCCCCAAGTGGAGGAATAGCGGCGGAACTGAAGAGGAAGCACGGAGGAGGAGGAAGGGCCATTTTAATGCACACCTCCTAAGAGGGCGGGGCTACCTCAGGCCTCGCCCCCTCTGGACTCCATTTCCGCCGCAATAGCGTCCTGCGGCTCCGATTGGCTATTTTCTGAGCGTGAGGACGTTGCGTCGCGGGGCGGGGCGGACGAGCAGCGTCTGTCAGGGCTTGAGCCCCCCGCCCCCGACCGCCGCCCCCTCCCCCCCC